CCAGGAGTCTTAACACCTAGCTATGTAATTAAAAGAGAGAAAACTTACACAAAAACTTACAAATGGTTGTATATAGCAGCTGGATTCATTGTGGCCCTAAATTGGAAGCTGCCTACAGGTGGCCTTCATGTGGAGACTGGGTGCTCACACAGATGTATCCAAACAACTGAAGACTAAAAGGAATGAACTTGTGCTTTTTCTCATTCCTCCTGCTGTGTGAAGTGAAGAACCTGGATACTTGTGTAAAACAAACAGGAACTTCAAAAGCAGAGAAGAGACAGTTGGTTAGGGACCTCAGGATCAGAGAGTAACATGGTCATGAATGGTCTGGATTTTCTGTTTTGCCTCAGATATGCTGAACTTGGTGCAGAGAAGCCGTAGGCACAGACCAAGAGAAAAGCCCCCCAGAAGCTGCTATCTATAGCCAAAAGTGACTGCTAACCAGACAGAACAATAGAAATTACCTCTTCGGACAGGCGTGGTGGTGCATACCTGTAATGCCAGTGATTTGGGAGGCTGAAGCTGGATGATCAGAAGTTCAAAGCCAGCCTCAGCAAGTTAGCAAGGCCCTGAGCTGTCTCAAAATTTTAAGAAAAGGGCTGGGTATGTGGCTCAGCGTTTAAGTGCTCCTAGGTTCAATTCCCAGTAGCAGAAAAGAAGAGAAGAGATTACCTATTCTGAGCAACACAGAGAAAACAGACTGGAAAAAATGGACAGAGCATTAGAGATCTGTGGCACACTAACAAAAGACCTAACATTAGTATCATGGGAGAGAAAGAGGGTGAAGATGAAAAAGTTTCTGTAGAAATGATGGTTGAAAATTTCCAAAATTTGACAAAGACAGAACACTAGAAATTGAAGAAGCTGAATGAACTTTACATAAGATAAACCCCCCAAATTTATACCACGAGTGTCATGAGAAATCATGGAGGCCAGAAAGAAGTAGACAACATTCTTCCAAGTACTGAAAGAAAAACTATACATAAATTCTATAGCCAGTGAAATATCCTTCAGAAATAAAGGGGAAGTGAAGATATTTTTGCCTCCAGTAAACCGTCAAGTTCAGAAAATAAGTAATAAAGAAATATCAGGAAGGAAAAATAGAGAATGGCAGACACAATAGACTTTCTCCTCCTCTTATATTTTCTAAATTATGCTTAATGATTGATATAAGAATTATAATAATTGATTTGGTTTTCAGTGATATAAAGAAAATATTTGGGGGCTGGGATTGTGGCTCAGTGGTAGAGCAAGAGCACTCGCCTAGCGTGTGAAAGACCCTGGGTTCGATCCTCAACACCACATAAAAATAAATAAACAAAATAAAGATATTGTGTCCATGTATAACTAAAAAAATATTTAAAAGAAAATGTTTGAAGGCAATTATATGTTACAAATGAGAGAGGGTCAAGGGTTAGAAAGAGAAGGGAGCTTTCTACATTTACTTTTAACTGGCCCAGCCAACTTTGGAATATAATTTGACCATTTTTTAAAACACTGAATATACACTGACCATATGACCCAGCATTTACATTCCTGGGCATTAATTCAGAAATGGAAATTTATGACCAAACAAAAACCTGCACACAAATGTTCATTGCAACTTTGACCTAATAATAACTGGAAATAACCAACATGTCCTACATGGGTGAATGGCTAAGCATAGTGTATCTATACCATGGAATATAATCCCAAAGTCAAAAAGAAACCAACTGCATCGACTTAAAGGGATCTCTCAGGAGCATTGTGCTGAGTGTGGGAAAAAAAATCTACAAAGGTCTCCAACTGTATGATTCCATTTGCACAACATTCCAAAAAGCACAAATATATGGATATAGAGAACGAATTAGAGGTTGCCAACAATTAGGGAGAGGGTAGAAAAGGGATAAGGGTGACCATAAAGCATTGGCAGGAAGGAGTTCTTTGTGGTACTGGAGTGGTTCCATGTCTTTTGGTCATTTTGTTTTGCAGTACTGAGGATCAAACTCGGCCTTATGCATGCTAGGCAAGTGTGTTCTTCCATGGGCTACCCTGGGCCCCCCAAGTCTGTTTTCCTGATTATGCTGGTGATGGTTAATGCATTCATATGTGGAATGTAATGTCGTGTAGAACTACACACAGTGCACTAATGTCAATATCTGGATTGGGTTTTTTTTTTTTTTTTTTTGGTACTGAAATTGAACCAAGGGGATGTGAGCCACATCCCAGCCTGTTATAATTTTTTTTTTTTTTTTTAATTTTGAAACAGGTTCTCACTAAGTTGCTGAGGCTGACCTTGAAGTTATGATCCTCCTGTCTTAGCCTCCCTATCCCCTAGGATTACAGGCATGCACCACCATGTCTGGCTGAGCTTTAGTTCTATAAAATGTAACTTGGGTGAAGTTGGTCTGAAGGTTACATAACTATGTAATTTTGCAACTTTCTGTGAATTGACAATTATTTCAAAATCAAATTTTTCCAGAAGGTATGAATTGTTGATACACAGAATAAATCTTAAATGCATTATGCTCAGTAAATATAGCCATATTCAAAAGGCCAAATATTTACTGTATACTTCTATTCATATGACTTGGAGGAAGTGACAAGGTTAAACAACAAAGAACATATCAGTGGTTGCCTGGGATTAGGGATTGGGGATTGACCACAAAGAGGGATCACTAAGGAATTTTTGGAGGCAGTGAAACAGGTGTGTATCTTGATTGGTAGTGTTAATTAAACAGCTCCATGCATCTATCAGAGATTTAAAACTGCAGGACTGGTGGTGCACACCTGTAATCCCAGCAACTTGGGAGGCTGTGACAAGAGGATTGCAAGTTTGAGGTCTGCCTCAGCAATTTAGCAAAACTGTGTTCAAAATAAAAATTATTTTAAAAGGCAAGGGCTAGAGGTATAGCACTTGTGGGTTAAATCCCCAGTGCTGCAACTAATGAACCAGCTGTGTGTACTGGTATCTTAGGTGCAAGTAAGTCAAAATATCTGTGTTCTGCTTGGTTAACAAATGTATATTTGTAGCCCTTTCATGTGATAGAATTCAAGTTGTTGTTTATAAAAAAAAAAAAATAGGAGAAAACTGCCTTCCTCAATAGAAATCTAGAATAGCAATGTTTATGGATATCACAAATAAGGAATTCAATTCTTTAAAAAAAAAAAAATCCCCAGTGCTACCAAGAAAAAAAAATTGTAAAACTAAGTAAGTGTGAATTTTACTTTATATGAATTAAAAAGACAAAAAAAAGAGAAACTAGGGTTTAAACAGAAGTACATTCCCTAAGAGTTCATCTTTTGATGACCAAGAATTTTCTAGAAATTTTTAAGAAATGTGTGTGTTTTATTTTCCCACAGGTGATTCCATGAGTGAAGAAGACATGCTTCAGGCAGCTGTGACCATGTCCTTAGAAACTGTTAAAAATAATATGAAAACAGAAGGAAAAAAATAATACCTTTAAAAAAAATCATCTAGATATTCACACTTTCCAACCTTGTCCTGTGTGGTTACAGCATAGGGTCCATCTTGGTAATGTGTTAAAGAGCAATGTTCATCAGAGGAAATAAGACCTTTAGGTGGTTTGCAAACACAATGAGGAGAAAGTGAAAAAATGCATCAGTTGAAGCACTAAATAATGATCCTCCAAAGACTAGCCCAAAAGCTAGTCAGCAATTAAAAAATTTAAAATGGTTTTCTAAATGTTTCTTTTTCTCTTTGTGTGTGCAATATCTAACATGTCTAAAATTAGTATATTTTTCTTGACTCTTTTTATAGACCAAACTAACTTGTTCTTGCCACTGAACTTGTTCCACGTGATTTTGTTCTCCTTTTCTCTGTTGGGTTGTAAGTAATTTGGCTGTCTTTCATCATCTGATAATTGCTTTTATTTCTCATGAACCAAATTAACCTTTCAGGAAAATGTGTGTCTGCCTCAATGACGGTATTAGTTCTGGAAGGATAAACCTTTCTCTCACACCTAATTGTATTGCGCAGTGGATGTTTTCTCCGGTTATTTTCTTGGTTCACAATTTTTCTGCTAGCTAGATTTTATTATTTTTCTACAACTCTTTTGAAAGATGGTTATCTTTTTCTGAGTTTTTTAAGCTCTCTACGATGGGATCATTATTTTATGACTTTGGTGCATTCCTAAATTCTGAAATCGGCTCTACACAGTATTTGAGAATAAATGAGCATTAAAAAAAAAAATGTGTGAGCACATGCTTTCTCAGATGCTTTATGAATGTCTTTTCAATTATGGCAGAACTTTTACAGCTTTGTTGTAATCACTTTCTCCTGCGCCTTATTTCCTTTTTCTCCAGTTGGGAACTGTCGAAAGCATAGTGTGCAGGCACATTTCCCTGTGTTACGAGGCTTAACATATGTACCCACTATGAATGTATGATAGAGAAAAATCTGGCCTTCAATTTTAGTAATAGTTTATTTTAATTTTTCTTTTGTGATGGAGCTCTATGTTGTATTTACAATTGAATCATGGAATGTAGATGTCTGCTTCACATTTTTTAGGTAGGTAAGCTTGCCAGAGATGGTAATATGGAACATGAAATAGTTTACTAATGAAAATATATTTAAATTTATACTGTGATTTGACATTGCATCATGTTTAAATAGCTTTAGGGTTACTGAAGTCACAGTACTTAATGAGTCTGTAAATAAGAAAGTTCTTAGTTTTGATAAACATTGGGATGCACAGAGAGTTTCTTGCTGGATCAATATAGTGGTGTGATTTTGGTGCAGTGGCGCAAGCCTGTTATTCTAGCAACTTGGGAGACTGAGGCAGGAGAATCACAAGTTGAGACCAGTCTTGGTAATTTAGCAAGATCCTGCCTCAGAATAAAAAAATAAAAAGGCTGAGGATGTGGTTCAGTGGTAGAGTGCCCCTGGGGTCAATCCCCAGTGCCCCAAAACAAAAAGAAAACTTTACCATGTCTCTCTTAATGGGTGTCTGTCATCTGCTCCCCACCCCTTTTTGAAGCCCTTTTGAATGTTGAATTATTCATAAGCTAAACTTCAAGAAGAAATTTCAGCTGATAACTTAGAAAAGTAAAGTATGGCATGTTGTACCACTGGTTTGTGGCTGCACATATTTTATCAGGGAAAGCTTTTTGAGCTAGGATTATTGCTAACTGAAAAGAGAAGAAAAATATCTTTATTTATGATTATGAAATAGCTTTTTCTTAGGACAGATTTTTTTAAGTCATTTTCTGAAGTTTCCTTTACACAATATTAGACAGTTTTATTTTAAAATCTGAAGTTTTAACTATTGAAAATGTTACAGAATTATAAAACTTCAGAAATGCAAGGGATGTTAGAGTTCAAAGACTCCCTCAAAATGCACAAAGCTAAACATTTTAAGACCAATCATTTATGTAATTATCCCCCAGTGTTCTAGCCATATTTTCCACGGATATTTGGCCTTTACTTTTTCTCTTTGAAAAGTTGCATTAAACTTTTCAGAGTGAATTGATAAACTACTTAAAAGTAAAAAACCAACAAAGTTTTAACTTTATAGAGTTTATTAAGTTTGTGCATTACATGCCTTAAAGCACTTACAAAAGTGTGGCATGTCAACCTTTATTTGTTTATTAGGGACATTTTAAAACAGCAGAGCACACACTGGATGTGTTTGTTTAGTTTCTTGTGAAATTGTCATATTTGTCAGGCAGAGCCAGAATCACCAGTCAATTGCCATCTTATTTGGATTGACCTAAATTCATCTGAATGATTAGATTTATCTTAATTGATGAGCCACTGTGAAAATATGCCAGTGCTTATAACAGTAGCATCAAAAAAAAAATTGTTATGGAACTGCCACTTCCAGTAAACCACCTGCAAAAAAGTTAGGAGCAAGCAAATTCATAGTAACTGTCCTGCTAAGAGAGTTATAAAGATTTCCATTCTGTTTTATCAATTGGGAACATCTTAATGTTTAATATTTAAACTATTGGTATCATTTTTCTAATGTATAATTTGTATTACCAAGATTAAATATGTATAGTGGTGATGCTAATATTTTAAGTAAAATTTAAGCAAACTTTGGGAAATAACACTCATATTTTTAGGTATTGTGGATTTACTAAGGGATTATTTGTTTTAAGTATTCAGAGTAGCTAACCTCTGATCCCAAACCATCGATATGCTTTTTATAGTAAATAACATACAAATATTCAGGAATATAAATTGTCTGAAACGGTTGCTGCAGGTGAACTCTAAATTCTAAGATTTTGGCCAAATTATTACAATTCACAGAAGATTTAAGAGGTGCTTTTTTTTTTTAACTTGATTTTCTTAATTGAAGTTTTATTCATGATGCCAAAGTTAATGAAGAAAGCTGAGAACTAGTTGACTTTTATTATAAGCAAAAACTACTAGTAGTTATGATTCATCTAATAGCAAGTTGAATAAAATAAAGTTTATTCCAGTCAGAGCCTAAATCACATTTTCAGTTCTACATGTTTGATAGTATTTTTAAATCACACTAGTGCCAAGAGTTACTAAATTCTTAAAACTGATCATTGGACCTGTGCAAATTCAAATATCAATTCAGTGCATAATCAAAATGTGGTCATTTAAAAATCTTAAGTTGGAAAAATTTTGCTATTTTAAGTTATTAGGAGGATTCCCAGCTAGGGATGTGGCTCGATGGTAGAGTGATTGCCCAAGATGTATGAGGCCCTGGGTTAAATCCCACTATCTTTAAAAAAAAAAAAAAAGTTACTAGGAGGATTTAATAATTAATATTGAGATCGCCTATTAAAAATGCTATCTGTGGAGGTCAGTAAAGCTCAGTGGTAAAGCCCTTTCCTGGAACACTCCAAGCCCTGATGTCACTCCTTTTCCTCTCCCCCCCCAAAAAAAAAACACCTCATTTTTATCTTTAATTGGAAAGGCTTCAGGCCAGTATTTTCTAAGTGAATTCTTTGTTGTCTCTGAGTTCTAGCAAGTATAGAGAATGGGATATATGTGACCCTAATTAGGAAAAAAAAATTATCATTTAAGCAGTGTAAATAATTTTTCACTTTTTCCTATTCAAAATAAAACCTTTTCTTCATTCCTAGTTCCTTTATAACCATCTTTTGTTAAAGAAATGAACTGACTTTTGTGTTGTTTTTTTTTTAAAGTCTTATTAATAATAAAAACTTTTGTTCTATTCTTTCATGAATAAAAAGATGATTGGCATGGTTAGTTTGTTCCTGAATTTTGATTCTTTTAAGAATATTTCTGCTGTTTTTATTTTTTCCAAAATGGTCTGGCATTTTAATTATTAATGCTAGTAATGTAACTTCTAAATTTATGGTAATTGGTATGTTTAATAAGTGTATTGATACATTTTAATACTGGATTCATAGACAAAGTGGGAAGCAGGAAGTATTAGTGAGATGTGTGTGAAAACTCCTGATTTGTTTAGGCATCTTTCAGTTGTCTCTTGCATAGTTTAAAGTTGAATGTTTCCTGGGATATTTTTAATGTTTTTTTTGAAAGAAGAAATCATAACATTTAAACGTGATTACCTAATTTCTACAACACTGGACTAATATGAATAAGTTTTTTAAAATTACTGTTCTGTATAAATATTTGGAATTCAAGTATAAAAACATGTGAAACAAAAGACATTGTCTTTTGGCCATGATACAAGTGCACTATGGCAGTGCTGTTTGCTCAGGACCCAGCTCTGCAGCCCCTCTGTGTGTGCCCCTCTCTTGTAGAGTTGTTTGCCGTTACTCCACACACAGGCCTTCCTCTGGTCCTTCCAATCTGGGCTTCCAAAGCACTGTTGAATGCTAAGGATTCTATTGTTGATGTGGATATTCGATGCGTTGTATTTTAAATATCAAAGACTATTAAATAAAGAGAATGTTTGCTTTTTTATTTCTTTCTCTGTGTTTATTTTAAGTTCATAGTCTTGCTATTCAAAGTATGGTTGGAGGGCCAGTAGCATCTGTTTTACCTGAGAGCTTTTCTGAAATGCAGTTTCAGGCTGCACTCAGCCCTGAATCAGAACTGAGCATTGGAAAGCTCCATAGCTCTGTGTTCTTGCCCCACTTCAGTGACAGATGCAGCAGACCAGGGAGCCCACTGATATTTCTGCCACAGGTTCCATTATTACCTGCGCCTCCAATCTTTTCCAAAAGAAGTTAAGAAGTCCACATTTTTATTTGAGATGATTTTTAAATGCTTGTGTAATTGTTCTTTAGGCTTGACAAAGGGCATTGGTAATTTTTATTTTTATGCTGGGGATTGAACCCAGGGCCTCATGCATGCTAGGCCACTGGCCACATCCGTAGCTCCAAGCAACAATTTCTGTGTGCTGTTTTTCTTAATTTTACACAACTTCACACTGGAATCCAAATATAGTAACAGTTGTGAGCCACATAACAATGTTTCAGTGAAAGAAGGACACCAGTCATTTTTCATTCCTTTTTATTGCGGTAAAATACAGATAACAAAATGTACCATTTAACTATTTTGAGGGTACATTTTAGTGGTAATAAGTACAGTCATAATTGGTGCACCCATCACTGCCCATCCCACTGCCAGAACTGTCTTCATCTTGTAAAACTGAAACTGTACTGTGACACTGTAACTGGAGCTTAACCCCTAGGTTCCCCATAATGTCCTCTGCCCCTTCCCCAGCCCCTGACAACTGCCATTCTATTTGTCTTTATGATTTAACTACTATAAGAGCCTCATAAAAAAATCATGCAGTATTTGTCTTTTTGTGTACTGAGCTCACTAAACAGCATAATATCCACAAGATTTACCCATTTGCGGGGGCTGGGGTTGTGGCTCAGTGGTAGAGCGTTTGCCTAGCATATGTGAGGCACTGGGTTTGATCCTCAGTACCACATAAAAATAAATGTTTTTAAAAAAAGATTTATTCATTTTGTAGCATGTCAAAATTTCTTTTTTTAAAGCTGAGTAATATTCCATTGTATGCATTTACCACATTTTACTAATCAATTCATCTGTTAAAGTCACTAGCTTCTCCACATAGTAGCTATAACGTGTTAGAAACTATTATGGAAAACTGCCAAGCCCAATTATGTCTAATTCTTGGAGCATCAGAGAGGTTGTAAGTTTCAAGCTGAGCAGAATTGAATCACCCTTGCTCAGCCTGAGCCCCATGTTATTCACAAGAGCCCCAGGCAACTCTGCTTGTACCCAGAATCCTACTGAGTGTCTTGAAAAATAACTGTCAGATTCACCCCTCTGAAGTGGTCCAGCCCAGCACCAGATGCCAGGAAGGAGCAGATCCTATGCCATCTCCATTGCTTTCCTGCTTTGTCAAAATGATTGATGTTCTTCAAAAGCTGTTTCTGTTCTGCAGAGGGGCAGCTCTGTCTCCAACACTGAACCCCCTTTTATCTTCTCAGGCCCAAAGCAGATCTAGCTTCTTTGAATCATCACCTCCAAGGTCTTACAGTTAAATGTAGAGGATTAATACCACTTACACAAAGTCCTCGGAGTAGTCAAATTCATAGAGAAAATAAATTAACCCCAAAATACAGAGAGACCAGGAGAGGAGATGTACTCACGGTATGGTAATGGAAAAGCCAGCTACAACAGAGACTTTACCACACTCCTTTTTTTCTCTCATCTTTGAGAAGTGATTGCTAGTTCAGGGATGACACAATACCAGAGTCAAGGAGTCTGCTCTTTCTGTATGTACATGACTCCCATGGCTACAGTCAACTCAGGGACCCTTAGTGCCCATGATTCTATCTTCATTCCAGCATTAAAAAATAAAGTATAGTGAAGAAAGGCCATGTGCCCTTTTTTCTCTATGGAAACTGCACCCACCACTTCCGAGTTTATTACATTGGCCAGAACTTAATTATATGGCCACTCCTAGCTACCAAGTGGGTCTGAGTAGCCATGAACCTTAGCTTGGGTACCCTAGATGCAGATCCTGAAATGAGGAGTCCTGTGAAAATGATTTTTTTTTTAAGTGTCACGAGGAAGAAATGGAAAGGGTAGAGAAGAAAAACAGGCAGACCAGGAAGCCTGTAAAGGAATGATCTTAAGCAAAGCCTCCATCCTGAAGTTAGGTCTGGAGGGAGTATGTTCACATTTCAGAGGCAGATCTTGAGGTGCTGCATTATTTCACACTCCGACTGATCAAGACAGGGTTTCAGCTCTCCAGGCACACAGGCAGAATGGGCTCTGGCAACCCAAGGCAGTCCTCTGATAATCAGACACAGGTAAGGGCCAGTATGCATGACTATGGTAAAATGAGGGGATACGAGAGGGGCACTTGCATCTTCTGCTAAACCAGGCATTCAGGTAAAATGCAGGGGTTCAATTACCATGACAGAAGGGCAGAACAGACTTTGATGAACGATTAGTAGTGACTTCCATATGAGACAACAGAAGAGAGAATGTTATTTTTTTGGAAGATTGAAATATTGATGCAGGAATGAGCAAAACAAGCCCAATACTAAATGTTAAAAAGAAATATGCCCAGGGCACACAGACAACGAATTTAACCAGTATCTTGCTGAGACGTGGCTGAAATCGGGTGGTTTGGTTAAAAGTCACTGGAAGAAACACCAGATTCCTTGGAGAGGAAGCATTTATCAATAAATAATATTTTAACTTATTTACAGAACTAAAAGACATGGTTTTTCAAAGGGCTCACTCAGTGCCCAGCATAGTGAAAGAAAGAAAGAAACAAACAAACAAAACCCACACTAAAGCATATCATTATTAATTTCAGAACATTCGAGATAAAGAGAAGATCTGGCAGACAAGCTTCCAGAAAGGAAAAACAGGCCAGAAAATAACCAGGATTTTATAGCAGAAAAACACAGCCCTGGGTAACGAGGGCTGCATCAAAGCCAACTGCTAGAATTCTTGATGTTTTATTGAAAACAGAATTAGGAGCATGTCTTACAATTCTGCTGCTAAGTTTCACCAACAGTTAATTTAGTGATTCTGTAGTAACAGAAAATTGGGCAAATCAAGGAAATGAAATCTTAGTACACCACCTGGCTCAGCTGCAATGAAACTCATATTAGGTAACATTGATAACTGACTTTGCCAATAATTATGATATTATTGTATTGGAAGCTCAGAAGGTAGAAATGTGAACATACTCCCTTCCAGACCTGTTCACGATGGAGCCTTTGCTCAGAATGGAGGCATGGTATAAGGATTAAATCTTTTATTTTTCTTAATGAAAAGATGGTTATGTCTAAAGTTAATGAGGTAATGGCAATCATAAGCATAACAGAAATTGAGAAGGAGACATCAAACTAATAATGTGAAGCCCATGTTAAAGATGGATTTTTGCTTTACATTTTCATATATAACTCCATTTTGATGACTGTCTCAGAACAAAGGAAGAGCTTTCACTAGAGGAGACTTGATTCTAACACCTGAGAAACAGAGACCAGATAGTAGCTAATGTATTTAAAACCTTTCTGATTTTTTTCCTTTTTCTTTCTATCCACTGAGGTTTCAAAAATCCTAGGTTCAAATTTTCACCTAGGAAGTCTACATCACCTGGAGCTCCTGAGGTCTGAGGGCTGTGTCTGATGTAATGTGTTCAACTGTGCTGGTTTGTTCTTTCTACTCAAGAATGATGACGAAGAACAACTGTATTAATACAGGAACATTGGGCAGGAAAAGTTATCCTCAGCTCAAATATTATCAAACTTGTATTTTAACTTGCTATTATAAAACATTTCAAAAATGCAGAAGTTATTGACTAATATATTGAACCTCCATGTACTCATCAACTTCAATAATGAACAATTCCTGACAACTCTTGTTTCACATGCCCTTCCCCCCATTATTTGGAGTGCATAGAAGATATCACAACATGTCATTTTTCAGGATAATACTTTAAGTATTAAAGTATTATCCTGAAAAATGAAGGAAATTTTAGGAAATAACTTTTATGTTGATTACTAGTACATGATGTAAAGGCATATATTTGGGCTTGCTTTCTTTATTAATTGCAGTATTTTTCTGCCAAAACATGAATTTATGGAACTGGAAGTCCAGAGAATTTATACCTATAGGAAATAAGAACTTGATTACAATAGCTAAAATTTTCACTGTTATGCAGGATCTCTATTAGATCCTAAGTTCATGTCACTCCCATCCCACTGAGTGAAAGCCAGACTCCTCATAATGGCCTACCAGGCCTTCACATGGTTCTTCTGGGTCCTCACTGATTACAACCCTTCCCAGGTCAGTTCTGCTGTAGCCATGCTTGCCTTCTTGTGAATTCTCTAACCGGACAGGTGTTCTCCTACTTCAAGGGCAGACTTATCAGTTCTTTCTTTCACTTGGATTTTCACTTGCTCTTTCTTGGATATTCTTTAGGTCTTGTTCTCTCTCCCCAACCCCCTGTCCACTACTGAATCCAGGGCCTCATTCATGTTAAGCAAGATAGGCAAGAGGTCCACTACTGAGCTACATTCCCAGTCCTGTCTCACCCTTATTTCCTTCAAGTATTTGTTCCTTTATCAGGGAGGCCTTCCCTGAACACCCTTTATAACATTATTAGAACCCCTCTTCCCATATCATCCATGCCCTGTTTTACTACTCCCCTCCCCCAAAAAGCTGTTATTACTACCTTCCTTATTACATTTTGCTTATTATCAGTGTCTTCCCAGCAGGACGCAAACTTTATGAGACCAATGACTCTGTTCTTTTCCCCTGCTTTATTTCCAGTGCCCCAAGTAATGGTAGATACACTAGTCTGTATGTCACGTTTTAAAAACTTTGCAAACATTTCAATAGCAATCATTATGTATGGGGCACTGATCCAAGTCTTAAAAATAGTATTTCAACCCTGGTATGCACTATTGTTACTATGCTCCATTTTATAAATGAGAAACTGGTGCACAATGAGTTAA